CTCTGGATTATGATAGAGGGCTGTGAGACTTTGACCTGAGTGCAAAAATGAGGCTCTAGACCCTTCCAGAGCTGAGATATCAAATTCAAAATTTCGACCCGAAAAAAAAAACGACAGTGTTACCCTTTCATTTTTTTCGTTTTCGGGCGAAAAATTAAGTTTCTCCAATCTTCTCAAAACTCTGGATTATGATAGAGGGCTGTGAGACTTTGACCTGAGTGCAAAAATGGAGGCTCTAGACCCTTCCAGAGCTGAGATATCGAAATTAAAAATTTCGACCCGAAAAAAAAACGACAGTGTTACCCCTTTAGTTTTTTTCCATTTTCGGGCGAAAAATTAAGTTTCTCCAATCTTCTCAAAACTCTGGATTGTGATAGAGGGCCACGAGACTTTGACCTGAGTGCAAAAATGGAGGCTCTAGACCCTTCCAGAGCTGCGATATCGAAATTCAAATTTCGACCGAAAAAAAAAACGACAGTGTTACCCTTTCGTTTTTTTTCATTTTCGGGCGAAAAATTAAGTTTCTCCAATCTTCTCAAAACTCTGGATTCTGATAGAGGGCTGTGAGACTTTGACCTGAGTGCAAAAATGGAGGCTCTAGACCCTTCCAGAGCTGAGATATCAAAATTCAAAATTTCGACCCGAAAAAAAAAACGACAGTGTTACCCCTTTCGTTTTTTTTCATTTGGGCGAAAAATTTAGTTTCTCCAATCTTCTCAAAACTCTGGATTATGATAGAGGGCTGTGAGACTTTGACCTGAGTGCAAAAATGGAGGCTCTAGACCCTTCCAGAGCTGAGATATCAAATTCAAAATTTCGACCCGAAAAAAAAACGACAGTGTTACCCCTTTCGTTTTTTTCCATTTTCGGGCGAAAAATTAAGTTTCTCCAATCTTCTCAAAACTCTGGATATGATAGAGGGGCTGTGAGACTTTGACCTGAGTGCAAAAATGGAGGCTCTAGACCCTTCCAGAGCTGAGATATCAAATTCAAAAATTTCGACCCGAAAAAAAAACGACAGTGTTACCCCTTTCGTTTTTTTTAGTTTTCGGCGCGAAAAATTAAGTTTCTCCAATCTTCTCAAAACTCTGGATTCTGATAGAGGGCCATGAGACTTTCACCTGAGTGCAAAAATGGAGGCTCTAGACCCTTCCAGAGCTGAGATATCAAAATTCAAAATTTCGACCCGAAAAAAAAACGACAGTGTTACCCCTTTCGTTTTTTTTCATTTTCGGGCGAAAAATTAAGTTTCTCCAATCTTCTCAAAACTCTGGATTATGATAGAGGGCTGTGAGACTTTGACCTGAGTGCAAAAATGGAGGCTCTAGACCCTTCCAGAGCTGAGATATCGAAATTCAAAATTTCGACCCGAAAAAAAACGACAGTGTTACCCCTTTCGTTTTTTTTCATTTTCGGGCGAAAAAATTAAGTTTCTCCAATCTTCTCAAAACTCTGGATTCTGATAGAGGGCCACGAGACTTTGACCTGAGTGCAAAAATGGAGGCTCTAGACCCTTCCAGAGCTGAGATATCGAAATTCAAAATTTCGACCCGAAAAAAAAAACGACAGTGTTACCCCTTTCGTTTTTTTTCATTTTCGGGAAAAAATTAAGTTTCTCCAATCTTCTCAAAACTCTGGATTATGATAGAGGGCCACGAGACTTTGACCTGAGTGCAAAAATGGAGGCTCTAGACCCTTCCAGAGCTGAGATATCGAAATTCAAAATTTCGACCGAAAAAAAAACGACAGTGTTACCCCTTTCGTTTTTTTTCATTTTTCGGGCGAAAAATTAAGTTTCTCCAATCTTCTCAAAACTCTGGATTATGATAGAGGGCTGTGAGACTTTGACCTGAGTGCAAAAATGGAGGCTCTAGACCCTTCCAGAGCTGAGATATCGAAATTCAAAATTTCGACCCGAAAAAAAAAACGACAGTGTTACCCCTTTCGTTTTTTTTCCTTTTTGGGCGAAAAATTAAGTTTCTCCAATCTTCTCAAAACTCTGGATTATGATAGAGGGCTGTGAGACTTTGACCTGAGTGCAAAAATGGAGGCTCTAGACCCTTCCAGAGCTGAGATATCAAAATTCAAAATTTCGACCCGAAAAAAAAAACGACAGTGTTACCCTTTCGTTTTTTTCATTTTCGGGCGAAAAATTAAGTTTCTCCAATCTTCTCAAAACTCTGGATTATGATAGAGGGCTGTGAGACTTTGACCTGAGTGCAAAAATGGAGGCTCTAGACCCTTCCAGAGCTGAGATATCGAAATTCAAAATTTCGACCCGAAAAAAAAACGACAGTGTTACCCCTTTCGTTTTTTTTTTTCGGGCGAAAAATTAAGTTTCTCCAATCTTCTCAAAACTCTGGATTATGATAGAGGGCTGTGAGACTTTGACCTGAGTGCAAAAATGGAGGCTCTAGACCCTTCCAGAGCTGAGATATCGAAATTCAAAATTTCGACCCGAAAAAAAAACGACAGTGTTACCCCTTTCGTTTTTTTTTCATTTTCGGGCGAAAAATTAAGTTTCTCCAATCTTCTCAAAACTCTGGATTATGATAGAGGGCTGTGAGACTTTGACCTGAGTGCAAAAATGGAGGCTCTAGACCCTTCCAGAGCTGAGATATCGAAATTCAAAATTTCGACCCGAAAAAAAAACGACAGTGTTACCCCTTTCGTTTTTTTTCATTTTTGGGCGAAAAATTAAGTTTCTCCAATCTTCTCAAAACTCTGGATTATGATAGAGGGCCACGAGACTTTGACCTGAGTGCAAAAAATGGAGGCTCTAGACCCTTCCAGAGCTGAGATATCGAAATTCAAAATTTCGACCCGAAAAAAAAACGACAGTGTTACCCCTTTCGTTTTTTTCATTTTTCGGGCGAAAAATTAAGTTTCTCCAATCTTCTCAAAACTCTGGATTATGATAGAGGGCTGTGAGACTTTGACCTGAGTGCAAAAATGGAGGCTCTAGACCCTTCCAGAGCTGAGATATCGAAATTCAAAATTTCGACCCGAAAAAAAAAACGACAGTGTTACCCCTTTCGTTTTTTTTCCATTTTCGGGCGAAAAATTAAGTTTCTCCAATCTTCTCAAAACTCTGGATTATGATAGAGGGCCACGAGACTTTGACCTGAGTGCAAAAATGGAGGCTCTAGACCCTTCCAGAGCTGAGATATCGAAATTCAAAATTTCGACCCGAAAAAAAAAACGACAGTGTTACCCCTTTCGTTTTTTTTTCGTTTTCGGGCGAAAAATTAAGTTTCTCCAATCTTCTCAAAACTCTGGATTATGATAGAGGGCTGTGAGACTTTGACCTGAGTGCAAAAATGGAGGCTCTAGACCCTTCCAGAGCTGAGATATCGAAATTCAAAATTTCGACCCGAAAAAAAAAACGACAGTGTTACCCCTTTCGTTTTTTTCATTTTTGGGCGAAAAATTAAGTTTCTCCAATCTTCTCAAAACTCTGGATTATGATAGAGGGCTGTGAGACTTTGACCTGAGTGCAAAAATGGAGGCTCTAGACCCTTCCAGAGCTGAGATATCAAAATTCAAAATTTCGACCCGAAAAAAAAAACGACAGTGTTACCCCTTTCGTTTTTTTCGTTTTCGGGCGAAAAATTAAGTTTCTCCAATCTTCTCAAAACTCTGGATTATGATAGAGGGCTGTGAGACTTTGACCTGAGTGCAAAAATGGAGGCTCTAGACCCTTCCAGAGCTGAGATATCGAAATTCAAAATTTCGACCCGAAAAAAAAACGACAGTGTTACCCCT